CAAGGGTCAGCACCCCGCCTTGGTTTCTGGTCCTAATTTCTAATTCTTTTATGATGCTTAATTCTATTACACTCCTGCTCTCCAGGGCTCTGCAGCCCCTCCACTGCCACAGTAAGGACGGGTGACAGTCACAGGGTCTCCTGCTCCTCCCCCAGGAGAGTGTGAACCTCCGGACCAATCCCTGTCCTCTGCAGGGCCATAGCTTTAGAAGGGAAAGAAAAAGTTCACAAAGGAGAGACAGCTTCTTGAGGATTCCACAGTTTCTGAGAACAAGCGAGAGGGCTCCCAATGTTTCCACCAGACAACCTATCCTTCCTCGGCCACCGTACAAGGGCTGCTTTAGGGACTAGAGAACCAGAAAGGAGGCGCTTTTAAAAAGCGCCTGGATGGTTACTGCCATGGCTTGTGTCTAGATGTCCCCCCAAAAGCCACTTGCGGTCAGGGGTGGGGCTTTTCAGAGGAGGCCGGGTCTAGGGTGTGTGATGTTTGGATTAAGCTTGTGTCATCACTAAATGAGTCACTGATTGGTTCAGCCGGCCCTCACTGTGGGTACCGGGAGGACCCCCTGGGTGTGGGTGGCACCACCCCAAGGGCAGCTGGTCTGGATAGATACAAAAAGGGCACGAAGATAGCAGCATGGCTGCTGCTTCCTGGCTTCTTTGCTGCTTTCTGCCCACCATGAACTGTTTCTCCTCCGTGATTCCCCCTGCCACGCCACCCTGCCTTGGAGCCAGCCAACGTGGACTGAAACCTCTACAAACCGTGAGTCAAAATAAACCTTTCCCCCTTTAGCTTTGGGTGTCAGGCATTTTGTCTCAGCAATGAGAAAAGTAACTATGACTACTTATAACCAAACAGACACATGCCAGCATGTACCAGCTATGCTGATGCTGGCTTGGGACATTCACCTCCACGGTCTGAGTATGGCCTGGAACCCAGAGAAAAACAGTATCCTCCTCACAGTGCTCGTGTGAGGGTTAAATGGCCTGTAGAGTGTCCAGCACGTGACAGGCTCTCCACAGAGAGCAGCTAACATGCCTGTTGCGCTTAGATCCCAAATCCAAGCAGGGTCTGGCTTCACGTGTGACTTTACCAAGTTCACGTCTGACTTTACTGGGCTGCCTGGCTTTGCAAACACAAGGGCTGCTGACTCCAGGAGCACAGAGCTGGTGTTTAATAAACACACACAGCCACAAATCACATCGGTGAACCAATCCACTGCAGCTAATAACTGCTTCCTGGGTCCTCCACTGGCTTTGTTCGAGACACTAAGTAGTTCCTAATAGCAAGAAAAGCAAATCACAGAGACAACAATGAATCCAATCAGCATTCATTTCTGGGCAGGCCCTGCCGAGCCTTCTCTTCCGGAGGCTAAGTAGAGAAGGTGTCCGTGAGTCATGCCTTTCCATCACAGGCACCTGTGGAACAGCGCACGCTTTGAGGGCAGCATCTTCTTCCCATCCGGTTGGGGACAAACACTGAGCACACACTGTAGAGCAGATGCCACAGACGTAGGTGTCAGGGCATGAAAACAAGCAGAGAGGATCCCGATCTGGGGACTCAGGCCTGGGGCGAGATGGACATGTGCAGCTGTATTGTGGGGTGAACCGCACATGCTAACAAGACAGACAAGCACACAGCAGCAGATAAGGATTATCTAAAGTAAGCATTTTTCTGGGTGTGCTGGTACACACCGGGAATCCCAGCACTGAGGTAGGAGGAGGCTGAGGTGGGAGGATCGCCTTGAGTTCAAAGCCAGCCATATAGGGAGTTCAAGGTAACCCTGGATGTTATGTATATAATCAGACACTGTCTCAAAACAGAACCCACACAAAAAAATACACATTTCCTGAATGTCTAGTATTTCCACAATGGTGGAATTTTATACAGTAAACGTGTTAATAGTGAAATCAGAAAAAAAAAAAAAAGAAAGAACTTAAAGACAGGGATGGAGACAGATTATTTAGCCAGTATTCAAATGGCATGAGTGCCAATGTCCAGGCATGTCACAGTGTTTTGGTGGTCAGTTTAGGGGTAAGGAGGGTGCCCCATGCTGCCTGGTGGGAGGGGGGGACACTTACTCTGACTTGAAGGCAAGGTGTAAGTTTGCACGAAACTTTATCGAGCAACCCAGCAGCTCATCAGTATTCAAAATGTGCATTTCCCTTCCCGGATTCTCATCCCCTAGTATTTCATCAGAAATGCCAGGAAACAGGCACAAAACTCAGCCGGAAAAGATATTTACTGTATCCCTGTATATAACACAGAAACACCGTAATACAGTGTACCATGTTTCAAAGACAGGTTTCATTTCTGTAGAAATAGTTTTGTTTTTTCCTCAATGCACAAAAAGTGTGTGTATATGAATATGGAAAACTCCAAAAAGATAAACAATAATCCAGCAACACTCAAGGCACATTGGAGCTGGCAGGGCAGGGCTGGGGAGAAGGCGTCTCCTTTTTGTCTTTCACTCTATGTATTTTCAAGTGAGGCTATAACCTTTGTGTATTTTAAATTGATCTTTTTTTAAAGGCTTTATTAGTTGGCAAGTTAGAGATACAAAAAGACACCTTTTAGAGACAGTACATACTTTGCTTTGTTTCTGCTTGTTTATTGAGTGAGACAGGATCTCACTAATGCAGTTCAGGCTGGCCTTGAACACACTGTGATCCTCCCGCCTCAGCCTCCCGAGGGCTGAGGTTACAGGTGTGCACCACCATGCCCTGCTAGAAAGCAGGTGTTTAAAAACAGTTCAGCACGGCCTGCTCCAGGAGGCCTGCGAGCGCAGGGACAGGGCAGGAGGAAGGACGGCAGAAGAGGAACCAGGGCAGGGTTTCCGCGTGGAACAGCAAGGTCAGCCGAGAAAACAGTAGGTCTGGGACAGCGCGAGTCCACAGAGAAAGCTGAGAACGGAAGGACGGGACAGCGGAGGTCAGGGCAGAGCGAGCTGGCCGAGCGCTGTCTGCAGCGGGAAGCACTGAGGGCCAAAATGCATCCTGGTGAGGAGCAAGCTCCGAAACCCAGATTCCCCCAAACACCTGTTACTCCTCTGTGGGGTGGCCAGAAAGTCAGCGGGAGAGAAGATTCTCCTGAGCATAAAACACAAGCCGACACAGAGAAGATTTTACTGAAATCAAGTCAGAGAGAGTGGCCCCAGCTTACTCACAGATTGTCCCAGGACAAATACCAGCGGCAGCCTGGCAAATGTTAAGAAGCAAACCTCATCCGGAGAGTGTCAGGCCCACTGTGCTGCCCTGTCCCTGGCTTCTGCTAGCTGGGTCTCCTCCCTTCTCGGTGGCTCTTGCATACTGCGTCCTGTTTTTGGAAACCTGTCCTCTCCGGTAAGCCATTCTTACTTTAGTGTGAATGCCTGGTGATTCTTGACTTCCAATGCATTCTCGGGTTACACCCTGGCTTTTGATTGAGTGTTCACTGCTCAGAGGCAATCCTGAGCACTGGGCACCAGGGGGCAACTGAGCAGAGGGTCCCCTGCCTTCGGAGTCCTCTTTCTCACACATCTAAGCAAGTGAGAAAATCTCTCAGGGCCACCGCGGGTCCCGCATGCTTACGCTAGATTCCAGGACCCTGAGGAGGCACGAGGGGTCCCCACACACCATCCCCAAAACACATCAGCACATGAACAGAAGGCGCAGTTTCCTCCCTAATCTAAGCAGTTCAGGACAAGAAAACCGGGTAGCTCTGCCGAGAAGGTACCCCTCTGGGGGTTACTATCTCTCTAGCTGTCTACACCTGCCAAATGGAGTCAAGAACTCCGAGCTTCTGCTCCCTGTGGTGTTGCATACATTTTCCTTTGGTGGGTCTCGATACTGAGGACGTAAGCATCTCAGGGTCACCTGGCAGCTGAAGGACATCTGGGTCCCACTCAGCTGGCCCTTGCAGAGTACCAGAAACAGCCCTGTTCAGAGCTGGGCAGAGGGTGCACATCAGTAATCGCAGCACTCTGGAGGCTGAGGCAGGAGGACCGCTGCAAGTTGGGGTCAGCCTGGATTATACAGTGAGTCCAAGGCCAACCTGAGCTTCATAGTGAGACACTGTCTAGATTGAATGAATGAATGAATGAATGAAAGAAAGAAAGAAAGAAAGAAAGAAAGAAAAGAACAAAAGAAAGCTCCCTCTGAGCACAGCTCCTGCTTCTGGCTGGGGCTGGGAAACTTGGGGATTTAGACTGCTTTAAGTTGACTTTACAATTTTGAATCTAAATATATAAAAAATTATGAGACATCTGGCAACTGACAGGAATAATAATTAGGTGGAGGGTTAGTTTCCCTATATATTTGAAACAATAATAAAAAGAATAAATGCAAATAGGCAGAAAACATGTTTTTTAGAAAGACTCACGATATCTCACGACTGGCATGAGCTGCCATTTATTTACCTCCTGGGTGCCCAAAAACATTTCTTTCATTCTGTGCACTGTGGGAGGCATTAAGAAAGCAGTGCTGGTGGGAGTGAAGATTGCTACATTCTTTGAAAGAGGAATTTGAAATCTTGTCTAAAACATTTTTTGGATGTACATACTTTATGATTCAGCAATTCTACTTCTAGGAAAGCATCCTAAGAAAATAACCAAGCACACAAAGAAACAAGCACAGAGAAACTCTCTATACTGATGCCTGCAATCGTAAGAAAAAGCCATAAAAACCACACACGTTGGTCAATAGTAGTTGTGTGCAAATGTGTGATAGAGTGGACTACTATGTAGTTGTTAAAACTGATAATGCAGAGCTATGCTGATTTGGAAATACATTTATAGCATGTTATTAATAAGGTGTTATTAATGAATAAAGCCACATGTAGCAAGCTATTCCACTTCTGTTACATATACACGGGATGAATAATAATGTATATAATAATATAAACAGCATGAATATAGGCTGAAGGTATCAATTAGTACATCATACACACAACCTAAAGTGAAAAAGTATCTCTAATTCTTTTCAAAATAAGTGTAATAAAAATCGACAAAATAAACATAGAGGTACCTGGGTTTTCATTTATTCTCTTAGAGGCATTTCTTTAGCATTTGAAAGACTAACAAAAACCCAGCCCTCTAAGGCTTCAGCCACCTTTCCCCTGGATAGGGACCAAGGGTCTGTTAACAGGCGTGGTGGATGCTGGAAATGATTTTTATTGACCATACAACAGGTGTCCCAGCCAAAAATACTGTGTGGGGAACTCTGCCCTCTTCTGAGCCGAGAAGTAGATTCAGGGAACCAGCAGCCAGTCTCCCAGCCTGGTGAGGTAGCTTCTGTAACCTGAGCCCCTCGGTGGGGCAGCTGACGGGCACAGACCACACCACCATCTCCCATGCATGGTGCCAGTCTGAGCAGCCGGAAGGGAGAGCTGGGTCCTTCCTGGCGTAGCTGTAGCACAGGCCACGCACCTGCTTGCTCACACTTGTATGTCCCTTTGTCACTGAAGCAGGATTTGGTTTGAAAACTGTTTTTGCTTAAAGTTGGTCCTCACCTCCAATGATCTGCACTCATCCCAGGACACTGATGTTTAGTAAAAAGAATTCGTGCATCGCAGCCTCTGAAGCTGGTTAAGTCTGCAAGAGAGACCTTGCTGTCAGGTGTCAGGGGTCACCTAGACAGTGGGGTACACGAGTGTCAGTCTCTGCCCCTGTGTGCACGCCTCTACTTCCTTGTTTTTCCCATAAAGAATCTGTATCGTGTGTGGATTTAAAGTGCTAACAGGTAACAGGAAGCTTAAGCTACACAGACAGCACCGCCTCCATCTGCTGGCGGACACGGAGAAGGACACGGAGAAGACCACTACCTTGTGACAGCTTCCCAGCAGGGACAGCAAACTTGAAGCTCTGCACTTGGGTTGCAAAACATCTGGGTTTGGGGGGCTGGAGGAAGACCACCCTTGGACACTGGAAAACAACCTTTCCACAGGGTGCTTTCTTTACAATGTTGTGCTGGAAGAATTCTGCCTTTCAGTAGCAAAAATAGAGCTCTGTTGACCGTGGCACTTAGAGAAAATCAGATTCCCTTCTGCACAAAGGCAGGCTTGCTAATTCGCCCAGGTCAGGCTCAAACTCAAGGTTCTCATACCTCAGCCTCCCAGAGTGCTGGGATCACAGCCGTGCATCCTTATGCCCAGCTATCACCTTCTGACATTGCTTCATTCAGTGTAATCTGCATGACGCTGATGTAATTGTGAGCTGCACGCATGAGGAGATGTGGACATACCCGGCTCCCCTAGCCACCCTCCATGATGTGTGAAAATTAGTCCCCATAAACATCTACAGTCCCCATAAACACTTGCTCAGGGTGCTGAGCCCAGATCTGAACAGTAACAGGAGCCACTGCTTTGGGTATGTATGAGCACACACACAGGCACACATGGATTGCCAGTCCGCTTCCATGGTGACAGATGATGCTGAGCACAGTAATAATGTTTCCACGGTAAAGACCTGGCAGGGGCTACAACCACTTTAAGTCATTTTAAGTATCTGGTCCTTCAGATGCTTTTAATCAGGCAGTTGCTGAAACTGATACATGCTCTGTCTGCTGAATCTCTCACAGGGACCTAAGAATCTCAGTCCCGGGTTTGGGTTCTATAACGTCACTCCAGTCTCCTGTGTTTGGAAGGTGACTGGACAGTGGGGTGCTATGCTCACAAGTGGATTTACTCACTGATGACTTCAGAGCTGAATGTACTGTTAGGAGGTAGAGCCAGGTGGAGCTGGTCCTGGGGGTGTGACCGGAAGGGTCCGAACCCTGCGCCCCTCCCAGCCCAGACAGTGACTTCACTACTCTCAGGAGCCAAGGAGGCTGCTGCCCTCGGAAAGCTCATCCTGCTCAGACCCTGCTGTCCGCTCCTTTCCCCAGCAGAGGAAGTAGCCACATGTGCACCCCCACCCCTCCCTGCTGCGTCTTGGGCACCTGTGACCATATCTATCCATTATTTACATGCCCTTTCATTACAGACACGGTGCCTGAAATGCCTACCTGAAGGGGGTGGAAAACAATGCAGGAATCCTTTTAAACAGGAAGGGCGGTGCAACACATCTGCATTTGCATCAGACCAGAAAATACACACACACACACACACACACACACACACACACACACACACAGGTTTGCTATTACTGTTCACACAGGATACAAACCGTTTTATCTGTGACTATTTATTCCATTGTCTGCAAGGCAGGGCTGCGCAGAGGTCCTGGGCTTGAGCTACAAGACAGACAAACCATCTTCGGCAGACCACCATCCGCATACAAGGGAAAGACAGGGCAGTCTGGGGCTGTCAGCACTACATGGGGCCAAGTTGAGGGTTCTCATTTTCAGTCACCATTTATTTTGGAAAAGTGTACTTACTACTTAAAAAAAGACCTGATGTCAGAAAGGCCACGCATCAGTTTAGCTCTGTGACAACCTGACTTGGTCACATCTCCTCCATCACGGATCTGCATCACTTGGAAGCGGCTCTTGGGGACCACTGGTCCAGAAATACAGTCACCGTGCAGCCAGCAAGAGGGAAGCTGTCCCCCCAGCTCCTGCACAGCAGCTGCGTGGTCCCAACCTTCGGAGTCCTCAGGAGCCACTGTGACATCACAGCTCCACTGTTGGTGCCTTACTATTTTTTATCAAATAAACTTACACGGTCTTACTTCAGAAGGAAGTTTGGAATCACATCTCTATAGGAAAAAAAATCAGTAACACTTGCCATGAGTAAAGGGCAGCCCACAGATAAAAATATATAAATATACTAACAAAATGTTATTAAATTCTAGTGACATGGTGTTGCTTGCTGAGGCTGAGCTCTGAACAGACCGGGCAGACTGGAAAGTGTCAGTGTGGTCAACAAGACTGGCTTGTCTCTTTGATAAAATCAGAAGGCCTGAAAGCAAATTGAAAATAAATTACTTTCACACGTGGAGATGCGATATCACCCAGCGCCGGCCCTTCTGAGATCATCTCGGGAGGCTCCATCTCACCTCAAGAGCAGCTCGAGTTCAGACACTTTGATGCTCGGGTTGCCTGACCCATTTAACACATTTATTGGGCACCTAACATGTTCAAAGTGCAATACACAACCCAATAGAAGAGTGACCACACAGACGTGTTACCTGCTATACAGCATCCCTCAGTGTGCTAAAACTGCATTAAACAAACGGCCACACCAGCTATGTGTGTGTTGTGTAGTCACAGGTGTGTATCATGTGTGCACTATGTGATACACGTGTCAGGGTATAAAATATGTGCAAGTATATCCACACGTAGACATGCACCCACGGGGTCTGGCTCTCCTCCCCACTCTGCTTCAGCAGAAGAGGAATTAAATTTAGTAATCTGGCCCTACATGATGTTTACTGCTGCAAGAGAAAGTTAACCCAGTAAGGCCACACTGGAGAGCTGCCCGCTACCCACCTGCCCCGTGTGCCGGTCCCCATTTCGGCACTCAGAGTCCCATGGGGGCAGGACAGAGCCTCCAGGACCCAGCGCTGCTCGACGGACGGCAGGCACCTATTAGACATCTGGTGGAAGAGCGGGAGGACAGAATGAGGAGGAGATTCAGGGAAGCCTGGTTCGGGCGGAGGTGGTAACGCGTGTTCCCTGATGTTCTTCTGGGCATCTACCTGGGGAGAACAGACAGACACTCAGGGAAACAGCTGGGCCACAGCTGGGGAGATTCATAGTTTGTAAATTCTGGAACCGGGATTAGAACCCAAGTAGGAAACAAGCTCATTCCCTTTTCCTCTTCCATGCTATCTTCCAACACTGTAGGAAAGGGTTTACTGACTTCTGAGAATGTGTATTTAGTAAATAACATACGCCCTAGTTTTAAAATTAAAACGTTGGGCTGTGCATGTGGCTCGGCAGCCCAGCACCTGCCTGACAAGTGTAAGGTCGTGAGTTCGATTCCTGGTACCAAAAATAAAATAAAATAAAATGAAAATGTCTCAAATCACCATCTGTATTCCAGCTGTTTGGAAGAGGTTCACACCAGCAACATTCCTGCTGACTTTTAAGTGGCCCTCATGTACTAAAAAGATACGGTACCTACAACAAATCCACATGCAGAAACAGGTTATTTTGGGCTGGAGAGGCCAAGAGAAAAATGAACAACCGAGCCTGCACTGCTCTTTTGTTCTCTAATGTATCCTTCCTTTGGCAGGCCCCACCCCTACCGATTCGCAGCAAGCCGATGGTCACTCAGCAATGTGACAGACTGTCTTTAGCGACAGCGGAGCCCTGTGCCTAGAGTTACAAGCAGTTCTTTTCAAGGATGTGAGAAAATAATGCGTGGAGAAAATGTAAGAAGAACAGAGGATCACACTAGTTGATAATCCATGACCAGGAACCCATACCAAGGCATGGAGGTACAATCTACCGTTTTATCCCCATTTTGTAAAGGAAGAAACTGAGGCGCAGAGAGTGTCAGCAGTTTACCCAGCAGGCATCTGCAGGACTGTTTGGGGCTGGAAGATTAAATCCAAGATACCTCACTCACATGGCTGCGGGCAAAAGCCCATCACCTTGCCGAATGGGTCTCCCCATGGGCTGAGTATCACTGGGTCTCCCGGCCTCATGGCACGGCAGCTGGCTCCCCAGGGTACTAATGCAAAAGAGAAAAATAGAAGTCACGTGTGTTTTAAGATCTGGTCACCAACGTCGACCTCCATGACTTTGTTAACTGTCTAGCAACTAGCACCAAGCCAGCAAGCGCGGGCCACACTCCCGGAGGACATAAGGAGGCTCCACTTTCTGGCCCCTCTTCTCCCCTCATCCTCCTCAGCTCCCACTCCAGGGAGGAGGAAGCCCCCTCATTTGGGGTTGCACAGGAAGGCACAGAGGCGCTGGGATGCAGCGATGTTTCTGCCTGTGATAGGTCCCAGCGGAGGCTGCAGCGGTGCCATCCAGGGCTCCTGACTGTCCCCTTTCCTGGGACATTTTTGTGCAAGCAATAGCCCCACACGTGTTGAGCTGCAGCTTTTCTGAGTCCAGAGGTTAGGTCAGGGGTGCCACTAAAAGCCGCCCAGGAATTCTTGGGGACGGGACACTAGCATAGGGGGGCAGGGTGGGGAACTGACCTGCACCAGGCTGGTGTCTCCTAGGCCTCGCATGGGCACAGCTCCCCAGCCTTTGCAAAGAGAACAAACAGGTTTGGGAAGGTACATAAAGGCAAGCTGGTGAACAGAGAGCTACCTCCCCCGCCTGCAGTACACAGCCAAAAGTCAACAGGCTGGATGAGCGGGGTCCCCGGTCTCCATTCCCCAGCAGAAGGGAAAGAAACAAGCAATTGCCCAGGCTGGTGGGAAAGAGGAGGTGAGAAATCAGCTGTAATTCCCCTCCCAGGCTTGGTCCTTTGGCTTTGCAATTTTGCATCATCCTTGACCCTCAGGAATACTCTGCCAGCCAAAGAGATACCTCTAGGCCCCGGCCTCTCCCAGTGAATAATGCAGCTCTTTTCTGAAAGCTGGCAAATCTGACTTTATGAAGCTGGCAATCGCAAATATGAAGCCTTTATAAACTATTCATGCCTCTCTGGGGCCTAATGAGGGCCTTTCGGATACAGTGTGAGGAGCTGAGCACTTAGTTGCACACTCTGCCTTAGAAATCAATTTATTCCAGATTCTCGGAGGAAGTACAGTGTGATGCTATTTCGTTTTAATAACAAAATCCCTCCGAATCTTTCAGCCCATCTCTTATCAAGAAGACTGTGGTTGTTATTGCAGGGTAAGGCCAAGCTCTAAAGCCTGGCGGAGCTACAGATGGACCCACTGCAGACTAAAAGCTTTGCTTATTTTCTGGTGCTGGGAGCAAACCCAGGGCCTTGCGCATCCCAGGCAAGCACTGTGCTACTAAGCTCCACCCAAACCCGGGCGCTCTGTGGAGTTACAAAAGAAGCAACCTCATCACCCATCAAGCGCCTCTGATGACCCAGGCCACCAACTTGTGGCCCTTGCAAGCAACACGGATTTCTGAAGCTGACTGAGCAACCCTTTCTTCAACCTCCTCAGTAACAACCACCGCCAAAGCTCACTGAGCCCTTGTTACATGCCAGACACAGGCCAAGTCTTGATATATTATCTCTTCACCTGGCACAACTACCCTGGAGTACCACTTCTGTTATCACCCCCACAGGTGACAGATACAGAAACTGAGGCACAGAGAGGAGAGCTAAGGAAGCTGTTCAAGGTCCCACAGCCAAGAAAGCACTGAGCTGAGATTTGGTTCCGGCCTGACCCTGAGGCTATGCAACTGAAAAATAGTTCCTCAAACTTGCTCACTGTGTTCTGTGTGTCTTTGGAGTTTTCTCCACAAACTGGAGGTCGAAGCTGTTCTCCCCGACTCTGGTATTTTAACAAAGCCCCGGCTTGGAGTCAGATTCGGCCCCAACACTTGCTGCCCAGGTTCCCCGCCCTGGCTTTCACCGCCCTGGAAGGAACTGAGCTGCATAAATTCTGTTAAATTTAACACAAACTCTTTCAGATTTCTTGCTTCAATTTTTTTCTGGTGATTTTTAGAGCTTTGCTTCCCTTAAGAAGCAGAATAAAATAGTGGAGCACAGGTTTTAAAGATCAAAGAAAGCCCTCTACTACTTTAAGATGAATGACTGAGGAATGATTTAACGTCTGTCTTACGATTCCTTGCCCATAATATGTGGGTAGCCAGACTTCGTATTCTTTAAATATTACTGTGAAAAGGTCAAAGATATAAAGTATATAATGCACCTATTACATGCAATAAAGAGTAACTCCCTAGAGCTCTTTTTGTTGTAAAGTCTGTAGCTATTCAGCTTTACAGCCTGGGTGGTTATAAGCACCCAAGGCAGGAAAGACTCAGGTTTGCTAGCTGATTTTAACCTAAATTATGTCTCCAGGGTGCAGAAAATCAACAGCTGTTGGTATCCACCAGTTGCACAGCACCGTGGTAAGCCCAAAGGACTCGCACCCAGGGAGCCATACAGTGCATGACAACTAAATGCTCCAAGAGGAAATGGCCTGGACGAAAGCACAGAAGGACAGGACATTTGTCATCGGCCCTAGCCAAGGACAGAGGGGAGAAATGCTTAGGAAATATGACAGAGAAGACGGAGGGTGGATTTCAGGGAGGAGGGGAGCTGGCACACTTGTGAGAGGTCACACACACGAGGGCATGCTGCTAGGGCTGGGGCGGAACCTCACGCCACGCAACAGGAACAGGGCAGGCTGGCGAGAGGGCTCAGGCCGGGCGTTGGGAGGACGTAATTAACTGATGGTGTACACAGTGCTGCTTTTGCTTTACACATGAGATCCCACTTACTCCTCACGAGTGCAGTGCTACTCTCGGGTTGTCTCTGCTTGGCAGCGGAGTTGAGGAAACACACTCAGGCTGGTTCTCAGAATCGTTCGGAGAGAAGGGCGGGCCATTTCAGGAAAAGGTCAACTGCGGCTCAGGGAGCCCAGTGATTTGTATCAGTGGTCCTCAGTGCCACTCTCTTTTTATAATTAATATTTATAATGCAACTTTTATTATTTTGAAATAGAATACAGCTCAAAAATGTGCAGGACTTGTAACCCTGACAACCAGAACTAACCCCCAGCCCCAGCAAACGCATATATCCAAGTGTCCCTCGGCTCCTGGCTGAAGCCCACCCAGAGTCGAAGCTGGGCTGTGCCTCCAGCCCAGGTCTCCTGACTTTGCAGGCAAGGCCCCTGCTGCCCGGACAGGAGGGAGGCAGCCGGGGGTGGGGGACACAGACCACTAGTGCTGTCAGAGGATTCGGCCTTCAGCTTCTCACCCCTCTAACGTGGGCCACGCTACTGAGAAATGACACTGACATCACATTCTCTCATGCCCTCAGTCCCCTGATGGCTAAAATTCATCTTGCTCAAGTGGAAGTTAACCTTTCCTCTCCACACTGAAATGGCACACGTTCCACATCCTCATTCTGATGAAAAAGGGCACAGGAACTGGGGAAGAATTCATATCGTCTTCATGGCCAACTGAAATCATCTTCGGTGCAGAGTACAAACAAGACAGGAGGAAGTGAAACCTTAGGTTTAAAAGTCTGTGAACATGACCATGTTTATGCCAGTACAATTCTCAGGAGCTAAGATATGGAACCAACCGGGGTGCCCATCAATAGATGAATAAGGAAAATTATTGACTGCATAGGCAATGGAATACGATCTGACCATTAAAAAGAATGACATCCTGCCACTTCTTCTGGTGTAGATGACACAGGAAGACACCAGTTAGGGACAGAAGTCAGGCACAGGAAGACTAACACTCCGTGGTTTCACCTACAGGCAGAAGCTAAACAGTTCTCAAAAAATAAGAGAAGAGTGGTTATCACAGCCTGACAGGGCGTGGGGAAGGAAGGGCAGTGAGAGGGTACAGAGGTGCAGCTGGAAAAGAGGATCAGCTTCTTATTACAGCACAGCAGCATAACCATGGTGAGTGACAATTAGTTGTATACTTTATAATACCTAGAGGAAAGGATTTAGATGTTCCCAACACAAGGCAGTGATACACATCTACCATGATGGCCATGATACTCTGATCTGACCACTGAACACCATGTAATACACTGAGATGTCACACTACCCCAACTCCCACGTGTCAGCTCAGCGTGAAAACATGCCGTAAATAAATAGATAATAAAAGCAAAAGCTACCATATAGGAAGTGCGTTCCATTGGCGTCTGTCTGTAAGTTTCCTCCACCCACTCAGTGAGAAGAAGGCCTGGTGACGGGGGTCACACACACCAGAGGAAAGAGCTAGCGGAGGGTCCATCGACACTGGCCAGCAGGGTACACAAATAAAACCCAGTGGCCACCACGTACTTCAGTTACTGTAACAGGTGAAACCTTTTCAAAAGACTAACAGGTCAGTCTGTCCATCACCTCCATTTCTTCCTTCCTTTCCCCTCCTGCCCCGCTCCTCTTCTTCCTCTTCTTTTCCAAACCCGCAGCCTTGCACATGCCAGCCAAGTGCTCTACCACTGAGCCACATCCCCTCACACAGCCTCTAACCACACTTACTAATGAGCCCCAGACTGGCTGATTGAACAGCGAGAAGAAAGATCGTAGGTGTCCGAAGGTCAGTTGGGCATCAGGAGTCAAAACACGAACTAAAGAAGAAGAAAGTTATACACAGAAAAACAGCTAGTTCTGGACAGGTAACCTAGATGTACAGCAGTATGGTACACACACCTCGCCTGCCCAGTCTGAGAGACATGTACTAGGGAAACACACAGCAAAAATAGCCTTAAAATTTGCTCGAGTTCTCTGACCCAAACCTCAGTGTCACTAATTCTGTGTTCATTTGTGAAAGAAAACATGCTACGGCTTTAGAAAATGGATCGATAGTGCCCGAATTTGTTCCATTCCTTATAATCCTGGGAAACAAAATATTTTAATTTCTTTCCGGTATTTACAATGATAAACTGCCTAATTTCTTCTCCAAAGGCAAAGTACAAAATACTGTTTCATAGAAGGTTAAAAAAAGAAAGACTTTTCATGATACAGCTCCCTTACCTTGTGGAATGCTGCAATCTTGCTGCTACAGCTGTTTTTCCAAACGGATTTATTTAGATAATTTACATCTCATGAAGCTCATCCATGTATAATTCAATGGTTTGGGGACATTTAGTTTATTACAACAGCACTCTAATTTTAGAACACTTCCATCATCCCCAACAAAGCCATTTATTAGCAGCTACTCCCCGAGTCCCCACACCAGCTGGGCCCCATCTCATCCACTTCCCGTCACCAGAAATTTGCCCATTCAGGGAAGTTTGCATGCACAGAATCATATAAGAAGTAGTCTTCTGTAACTGATTCCTTAGCATGTTTTTGAGGTTCACTCGTGTCACAGAACGTATCGATACTTCATTCCTTTAATTGCTAAGCTCCCCTTATGTGGATACACCACATTGTACTAAATTATTTATCTGTTGAAGGAAATCTAGTGGTTTTCGTTTTGTTGGTTACTATGCACAATGGTGCTGTGTTTTTACATTGTGTGCACATGTTTTTATTTTTCTTGGGTATAACTAAAAGTGGAATTGCTAGGTCATGTGATAACTTTATACTAAGCACTTTGAGGAAGAGTTAAACTGTTTTCTAAAATGTTTGCACCATTTTACCTTCG